CTTTGCGGGAGGGGCCGGGGAGAGCAGCGGGCTCTGGGGGGAGGCAGAGGAAGGCAGGAGGGCCCCTCAGCAGGCAGCAGGCAGGAAAGGATGTGTTAGGAGGAGAGGAGACCGAGGGAAAGAGAAACAAAAACAGCCCATTAACTCTCCAGAGGGGTGGGTCAGGCTGGGGGTCAGGTGAGGGACTCACGGCGCAGATGGGTGGAGGTCAGTGATGGCCACGCAGTCATAGAAGGAGAGGGGGGCCTTGGCGATCACGACCGCGCCCAGCCGGAGCTCCACGCTCACGGACACGTGGTCTGCAGAGGGGAGGGCGGGCCAGCGCTGAGGAGTGGGCAGGGTTTCCATACCCCGGCCAATGTCCCGAGACCACACAGCGTGGGGAAGGCACCCGGGGTCGGGGGACAGAGTCCACTGGGAATAAAATGGGGACTTTAGGGGTCTGGGACTCGTGGGGGGACTCAGGGCCCCACCCACACCCCCTGGAGCCAGGCAGGAGGCAGGCAGGGCTTCCAGGCCGCAGGGTAGGGGGCTTTGGGGAGCTGGCCCCTTCTCTCACCCACCGGCTCCTCTCGGCAGCACGGGGGCCCCGCTCGGGTCTGGGGAGAGGCACCTCACACCAGACGCGGTCGGCAGGGCAGGGCTCTGGTATTCCCCAAAGTGGCAGGAATATGACTCCCCCGGCCACAGGGGTGGCAGGTCAGGCACCGTCAGGAAAACCTGCCGAGAGAGGCCAGAACACGCGGTCGGAGCCAGTGGGCAGCAGGTCAGGGCTGGCACCGGCACAGGCAGACGCCCGTGGCACCAGCCCAGCTCTCACGGGCACCCCGGGCCTGGCCAGTAACAGCCAGCGGGAGCAAGGCCCCGGGAAGTGCCCTGTGCAGGCCGTGTGGCATTCGGTGCGTCTGACACAAACCTGAGGTGTGGACCCATCACCAGAGCCCTCCCCCCGGGCCCACCTGCTCTGGCCACTCACCTCCCTCCTCTCCTCTCGGCTGATGTTGGCGGGACGCATGGCTGCCACCTGCAGACAGCCCGGCTCCGGCCCGAAGCT